TTAATACTCCGGGTCATATCAAAGCACCATTATTTGATATGATTCCTTTATATAATTATGTATTTGATGAGTTACATATATTATTAAGAATTGAAGATCAACTTTGATCATTAGTATTATATGAAATTAAAGAAACAAATTTATTTAATGATATTAGCCGGCAAATAATTGTAAATGAAATGGAATGACTTAAGATTAAATTTCAATTTTGGGAAGAATCTAATACATAGAAGCATACATCATTAATGAGTAATGATAAAATCAAAGTATTGCAATATTTTAATTTAGGTGTTCTTTTTCATCCAAGTCGGGCTCAATTAATTAGATCTTTATGAAACAAATTTGTTGATCTATATAAAGTTATGTGTTATCAAACTAGCAATCCTTTATATTTAAAAAAGTTAGCGCTTGAATGGTTAAATCTTTTTTAAAACCTGATGAAAAAGATCTAAAAAATCCACATAATATTAAAAAAGGTCTTTATTTACCAATTCATGTAACTTCTTATATACATTTTTTAGTATTTCATGGATGGGAATTACATCAAATACATAGACGATAGGGGTTAAAAGCTTTTTCTTATAGCGCAGTTGAAAAAAAAAATCATATACATGTTTCATATTTTTTTGAAAAACTACTATGAATAAGAGAAATCCTCTTAAAAGAAATGCAATTCTAAAGCATGAGTCTCGAAATCTTTTTTTTACCTATAATGATTTTCTAATTTACAACATAGAACTAAAAAGCTTCGTATTGAATAATTATAATAAAGCGAAAAAGATTTAGATAATATTAAATTTTTAAATGATCCCATAGTTTTTCAATTCAGTTTATTTATTTTTTTACGCTACTAATGCTATTTAAAATAATAGTAACAAGTAAACATAAAGTTACACTGTAATACTATTATCCTTATATATATTAGTAATACAGGAAACTTCAATCATAATGCTATATTATCGAAGAAAAGAAAACACTAGTAATTATTTTTCCTGATCGGGTTCGATACACAAAAATTCGTCCAATGCACAGTATTCTTAATAAAGCAATGATCATTTTTAATACTTCATTTTGATTTTATTTATGTTACTGTTCCCGTTAAGCCCTCGATCAATGATCTTCAAAACACTTGCAAGAATACTCTTTTATGGAATGATTTACTCATCCGTATTAGGCAAACACTTCTTCATGTTTTGCTTTCTAGTAAGAGTAATCCTACTAGGAATCTACCTGATAATCCTAATCACAATTTCATTATCTTAGATAGAAATGCCCACTCTCCATCCTTTCGTATGCATGTCCTTTATATACAAATTTTGTATTCGAGATGTTCATATGATTATCTTTTGTGTGTAACAATAACATTTATTAAATCTTTTTTTTTCATGTAGATTTTGCAGATAAAAAGATTTATTGATATCAGTTTAATTAATATATAAGTTGCAAAAAAAAAAGTATTTTTTTTTCCTCCTTTCTTAACTTTTTAAATACGAATATTTTTTTATTTTTATTTTTCTTTTGTTATCTAAGAAAATGCCTTCAAAATTGATCACTTTTTGCTATGTTCACAATTCCTGAGAAAGGCAAACTGTCAGCTATACCATTAAAGAAATCACTGGCATCGTTGGGCTTGACGACATTGACTCTAACAAGATAGCATTCCTGCAGATCAAAGCTTTCATTCCAACCGATTGAACGGCTTCAACAGAAATTAAACCTTACGAGGTTGGCGATGTAATTTGTTTAAAAGGAAAGTTCGTGGCTTGTGATGATTGGTACTCTGTAAGTGATACAAGAATGAAGAAATTTATCATCAAATTATTTTTGATATTTTATAAAAAAATTAACATTAATTTTTTTTATCGCAGGTTAACGCTACCTCCATAAAAACGCTCGATTTAGAATATGACGACATTCTGATGATAGGTCTCAATATTGTTATTTCCAGTTCTACGATACAAACTGTCAGAAATGTGAACAGTCTTTCCATTTTTGAATTTAAAATTGAGGAAAGGTTAGGTGATAGAGAACTAAACGAATATGTCATTGAAGTCAGGCACGATCTGGACAACACTTACCTCGCCAACAAAACCAATGCCATAAATCAGACGATGAGATCAACCACTGCGACTTTGGTTGGTGTAATTGATTACGAACCTCCCCCTGATACTCGTATATTCCAGACGAATCCGCCATTGGGCAAACACATCCTCAAATTAGAAGATATTTCGTTGATTAGTTATCCTAACCAAACCCATACGAATGCCTCAACAATAACACTACTGTAGAGTAAACAAAATAATGTCAGCTATACACCTGCTAGTAGACCAACTCGTCAGATGACCAGAAGGTCTTCATTAAGGAGATTCTGAGTTATGTTGGCTTATATGAGACAAACTGTAATGTCAAAATGTCCTGTATTCTCCAGTTTGTTGACCGTACTTGAAGCGAACCCTATCCCACATTCAGATGTCAATAGTTCATTAGAGGTTGAAATCAATACGATACCTCTTTTGAACGCTAAAAACTCGGTAAAAATTCTGCAAGAAGAAACGGAATGAATTTTCATTTTTTAGTTTTTTTTTTTCTTAATAGTTTTTAAGATTAATTTTTTGTTTTAATTAACATTATATAATTAATTTACATTTTTTGACACTGACAATAATTTTGGTATTGTTCAAATTTTTGTTTTTTTTTTATTTAAGAAAAAAAAATGTTTATTTTTTTATTTGACATTTATGATTTTTTTTTATTACAAGTTCAATGTGTCATTTTTTTTAAATGATTTAATAAAATAAATGAATAATTGGGCTGTTTATAAAGTTTTTTTTTTATTGCGATATTTTTTTTTTAAGTTTAAACGAATAAAAAAATTTGTTTTTCTTTAAACAAATGAGAATAAACCTACCTGCTTTTATATAATTATCAGTCTTTTGCATTACGTTCCCAATAGACAATATGTTATCCGATTTAGATTCTTTTTTTTGCTGTTTAATCTGTTTGTTTAACAAATATTTCATTTATCATCA